TGATCCTATGGACTGAAACCCACCAGGCTCCTCTGTCCACGGGATTCTCCAGGCAAGAATACTGGAGTGGGTTGACATGCCCTCCTCCAGGGGATCTTCCCTGACCCATGTTTCCTGCGTTGGCAGGGGGTTATTTTTCTTTTTTTTTTGGCAGGGGGTTCTTTACCACTAGCGCCACCACAGTATTTTATAGTTCTCACGCAGCTGCCCGGCTCAAAAGGAGGACCCAGGAGGAAAGTCGGACCCAGGACTTCTGCTCTCACCTGGGAGGTCACAAGGTTTGAGGCTAAAGCCCTTGGCCGGGGCTCTGTCCCGGAGAAAGCCCCCCAAGCCCCGCCCTTGCGTGGGTCCGGCAAGTCCAGGCAAGAGCCGGCTTGAACCATGCGCCCCCTTGTGACCTGTCTCAGAAACAGCACCTCGGACAAGCTGAGACTCCCGGAAGCCGCATTCACCACTCACCCTGGAAGGGGCCACAAAATTGGATTAACGTGGTTTTAGAAACGCAAGGAAAAGATGGCCACACGTGCAAACATGGCTACCTTAACAGCAAGAGGAGATCACAGATGAGCACTTCTGGGGAGTGGGCTGTGTTCTATTTCTTGACCTCTGTGCCAGCCACATAGGTGCTTGGTAGGTTAAGTCCATGGCATAGTGTTCATTTCTGTCTTGTGCACGCTTCTATATATACGCTATACTTCATCCTGGCCTATGGCTTTGTTTGCTTGTTTGTTTGTCTTTTGGACTGCCATGCTGCCCGGCTTGTGGGATCTTAAGTTTCCTGACCGGTGATCGAACCCGGTCCCAAAGCAGTGAAAGCACTTAACCACTGGACCACCAGGGAATAAGAATCTTATCCCTGGCATAAAATTTTTTTGTTTGTTTTTTAATAATCCAACAGGTGTGAGGAGGAGTTAATAGAAGTCAACTTTGCACAGTGCAAGTGTCTGGGGCTGACAGAGGAGTCCCAGAGAAGGCAGAGGCAGGGATCTGGGCTAAAGAGCTGCCACCTAGAGGCCCAAGGGGGTGACCTGAGGGGCCTTTAGCACAGCTGCGTGTTCAGAAGATGTCTGACCCGCAGGGGCCGGGCCTCTCCTTCAACTGGCCTCCCCCAGATTCCCCCTGCTTCGAGCGGCTGGCGGGAGCCTCTTGACCCAGGCTGTGCCATTTTAGGTGACACACTTCCTACACCCCAGCTGTCACCCTGCCCTGGGCTCCCAGCTCTGGCCCCTCAAAGCTGCGCCTCTATTCAGAGGCTGGGCCCTGTGTGTCCCCCACTTCTGGGAGCAAAGGGGACCCCAGAACCTGGCTCTGCCAGGGGCTCTCGTGCTCTCAGGCTGCCCCGCCAGGCTGGGGCTGGAGCTGAGCTCCGGGGCCTGGCCGAGCTGTGCTGGGGGCAGGGGTGGTAGTGGCATTGCTGGGGCCAGGGTTCCAAGCTGGGCCAGGCTCTGGTCCCAAGTGGAGTCGGTTGGCCCCAGGCCCCAGACTGTTTGGCGTTTTCCGCAGGCTCATGCCAGCACCCAGGCAGCCTGGCAGTGGTGGCGGGCCCCGGCCTTCCCTCTGGCAGCGGCCAAGCTGGCAGCCGGCCTGTACCCGCCACGGGGCCCCTCCTGGTCTCCCTGCCCGCCTCCTGCTGGGCCAAGCTTCCCTGGCGCCCAGCAGGGTGGGCCTTGTGTCTGGGTCTGTGCAGGGGGCCCTCGGCTCTCCCGGGTCTGAGGCAGAGGCCTTGGGCCCAGACTGGCACGAGGTGGGCAGACAGCAATGTGATGACTGGGGTAAGAGGGTCTGCTGCCCAGGCGTGTGTGGGTGAGCAGACGGTGGAGGCCTGTGGGCTGCCTGCCTTCAAACCCCAGCCCCATGCTTGGCTGTACGGTCTGGGCCCAGTCCCTTCTCTCTGCCTCTGTTTCCCCATCTGTAAAATGTGATAACAAGTAGCTCCCTCATTTTAGAGGAGAGTGAAAAGACACAGGGAAGTGGGCTTTCTGCTCAAGCTTCCCAGCCAGAAGGAGCTGGTATGTGAACCAGGTCTGAATCTGAACCCAGCACCCAGGCTGCTGATCACAGGCCACTTAGCCACCCTCCATGAGCGGACCAGGGAGGCGGTGCCTGCTGCCATGGGCTGAGCAGGTGGCCTGGCAGGAGAGTAGACTGCCACAGCTCCCCTGGGCTCTCGGGAGTGGTTGGGGCCAGGGACCAGCCCCGAACCTTCCCAGCCTCCAGGACTCCAGGTTACAGACGCCTGTCCCGGCAGGGCAGTAGGTGGGCCTGTGGAGTGCTGGGCTGGGGTGCCTGGCTGAGGGGATCGTGTTCACAGGAGGGTCTGTGGCGGGGAGGTGGGTGTCACGGGCATGGTCACACCACATGTGCACTCATGTGCACGTGCCCCAGGGGTGCCGGCCCTCATGTGTGGGGAGAGTGAGCAGCAAGGGTGCAGAGTGTGTGGGGGAGGCAGAGATGGGGTGCTGGGAGCACCACCAGTGAGGAGGACCTGGGAGAAGCCCACCCTCCATTGCGGTTGAGCCCGGCCCCCTTGTCATGGGCTCAGAGGCCTCACCCCAAAAAGCACCCCCGCCACCGTGGCCCACTCCTCACTGTAGCCCCTCTCCACGCCCCACCCTCAGGCTGCCTAGTGTAGCCGGCTGGACTCTGGACTCCTCAGCTTGAGATGCCAGGAGGGGCTGGCTGGGCAGGGGGCAGGCGAGCAGACAGAGAGTGGAGCCTTCAGGACTAAGGTCCAGGGACCCTGAGTCACCGCCGTCCCCCTCCAGCTCAGTGGGGGCCCACAGGAGGAGGGAGGGTTGGGGTCTAGACCCCCCATGCCTGGCATGTCTCAGGCCTGCCAATCCCGGCCTCCAGGACTCAGCTCTCCACCAAGCCCCCTCCCCGGGCCCCAGCTCCAGGCTCATCCACCACAAGGCAACTTTCTTGCACCTCTGCATCCCCTGCAGCTTAAGCAGCTCCCCCGACCCAGATTTTCTCCCTAAAGTCAGAGTCAGTGCCGATGGAGCAGAGCAGGAGAGGGAGGTGAAGCTGGAGGCGGGGGCGGGGGGGCGCCTCATGCAGCGGATGGGCCCCTGCCGAGCCTTCGAGAAACTAAATTGGGCTGAGTGCATGTCACCCACCCCCGTGTGTCACCATCCCTCGGGAAAGGGAGGCTCAGGCCCACGCTTGCCAATCCAGGCTCAGCTGGGGGCAGAGACACTCCTGGTGTGGTCGCTGCCTGGTGTCTCCAGGATGAGATGGAGTCGACTCATCACGCACACGTCCACTTGTGGGAGAGTGATGAGGTCCTGATGTGCTACCCTGTTCCTGGGCCACTTACCCCTGTAACACGGCCTCTTTGCTGTAACACACTAACTCATTCAGAGGGTCCCCTGCCAGCCATACCCACGTTTCTGGGCTTGGCTCCCCTCTCACCCCCAGCTGTGTTTGGGCTGGGCCTGGGGTGCCCACCTGCCCCTCGCCAACTGGCGGGGGAGCAGCTGAGCCTCCAGGCCTGTTGCCAGGGCCTCAGCCCCTGACAGGGGTGGAGGAGCCTCGGGGGGCTAGGTGGGGGCCTGTCCCGGCTGTCAGCACCTTTGATGGATGAGGGGTGGGGCAGGGAGGAGGCTGGGGCTGATAGCCTGCAGCAGCAGGAGGTGGGGGCTGGTCCCCTGGGGTCTGCCAGCCCTGCGGAGCCCCTGGCCCCCACCCAACAGGGGTGTTTAAAGGCCCACAGGGTGGTGCCCTCCCACTCTGCCGGCATCATGAGCGCCTGGGCCTTCCCTGCAGCCCTTCTCCTGCTCGGCCTGACCTCTGAAAGCCTGCAAGGCGGTGAGCACCGGCGGTGGGGCTGCCGGCTGGTCTGGGGGTGTCGGGGGAGCACTGGGCCCCAGAAACAGGGAGGGGAGGGTCTGTAAAGTCTGGGTAGGGCAGGGTTTGGGAAGGCTGGGGGACAGACACCTGGGACCTGCCCCTTCTCTGTCCCCGGGGTCCCTGCCCTGAGTTGGCACCCGGCTTGCTCCACTAGGGCTCCCTCCATCGTCTCTGGGCCTGGGGAAAGGTAAGTGGACCCTCCAGACTCTGGGCTCAAGGAAGGGGGTCTGGTCTTTCCCTTGCAGGGGTCTGGGGGCTCTCTGGGGGAAGTCCCTGCTCTGGGATCCAGATCTGGGGGCCCCAGAGAAGACAAGGCAGGTGGCCTTTTTCATGTCAGCTCAAGTGTGAGAAACACAGACACCCCGCACCCTTGGAGGGGAATTAAGAGAGGGCAGAACCTCAACTTGTGTGAGGAAAAGAAGCCAGAGGAGGAAGGGCCTGGAGGGGGTGGGGGTGGGGGCAGGTTGCAACAGGAAAGGGAAAGGACCTTGCCTGCCGCCAGCAGTGAGGTGAGGCAAAGGCCTGGAGGTGGGAAGGGGAGGCAGGAAACTCGGGTGAGCTAGGCGGGGTGTCCCTCCAGGGACCTGGGGCTCCCTCCTGAGAGATGACACAGCTGAACTGCAGGAGAGCAAGACTGGGGGGCTGGGGGGACAAGGAGGATGGGCTTACAGGAGGGTGCTCAAGTAAGGACAGAGGTGAGGAGTGCAGAATACCAGGGATCCGCCCCCAGGGGTGTGGCCCAGAGCCCTCCCTCCTCACCAGGGACCCTTCTGCTCCCTTCCACCAGTCTGCTCAGCCTGCAGTGACCCCGGAGGAGCCTGAGGCCGGGGTCGGGCGTGGGGGGGGGGCACCCTCTCGCTTTGCAAGGAGCATGGAGACTCAGCTCCTTGCTGCCCCCAAGTGCCCCCTCCTCCCAACCCCACAGCCTTAGGAGGCTCCAATGGCTATTGATCAGGTACAGCTGGTGGTGGGTGGGCAGGGGGCACCCCCCACCCGCACCCCCACGCCTTCCCCCTTCCTTGGAAGGGACACTGGAGCTGAGTCATCAGGCTCAGAACAGCTGAGGGGTGGGGGGTGTTTAGGGGCTCTCACCAGGTCTCCCCCAGGCTTCTGAAAGGGTATTACACTGCAGAAGCCAGGTGGGCCCGGCCCGGCCCCAGCTCTTCCCCCGTCTCCCTGTCTTTCTCTCCCACCCCTCACCTCGCTCTCTTTCCCCAGGGTTCGGGAATGGGCGCGGGCTGGGAGCCCAGCCAGGTGAGTGGAGGGTGGGGAGGGGGGCTGGGCTCCCAGGCCTTGGAAGGGAGGGCGGGATGGATGATTCCGCGGTGGGGGCCAGATAGGGAGCTGTCAGGTTTGCTGTTTGTGGTGGGGTCCAAGGTGCTGCACCCCCACCCTAAACCTACCCGGTTCATGGTTTACTCTCCCACAGGCCCTCCAGCTCAGAATGGCTACGGAACAGGTAGAGGTGGGGCCAGGATTCTCCGGGCAGCCCGGACACGGGGTGTCCCGAGAGCCTCCCTTGACCCCGGTCTCCTTCTCAGGCATTGGAGGGGGCGCGAAGCCCCGGAAGCCGGGTGAGCCTCACCCTACCTGACCCTCCCGGCTCTATGCCCGTTTCTCCTCTGCTCCCTGACCCCCGGCCCTGTCTCCCCAGGTGTCTCCCCAGGGTTTAGGAGCGGGAACGGGCTGGGAGTCGGGACCCTCCCGGGTGCTGCTGCCCAGCCAGGTGAGGTGGGGGAAGGACGGGTGTGGATAGCAGAGAGGGGTGCGAGGGGTACAGCAGGTCACCCCCGGGAGGGGCTTCTCCCCGGCTCCCCCAGGGCAGGGGCAAGGTCCATAAAGGATCCTGTGGTCTAGTTTGGGGAACAGAGAACATGGAGTCGCCCCCCCTTCAGCTGGGACCCCAAATGCCCCCCTTTACCTCTCCCTCATGGAGTCCCAGGAAGAGGCTGGGTCCCTGGGTCCCCTCAACCACTGCCCCTCCCCCCAGGCTTTGGAAGGGGGCCGAAACTCCCGCAGCCTGGTGAGCCCCGCTCCCTGACCGCGTGATGGCCCTCATATCGCCTCCCCGTCTTCCCGCCCCGCCCTGGCCCCTGCCCCCTCCACCCTTCCTCTCTGTCCCCAGGATACAGAAATGCGCTGGGAGCTGGTGCCTTCCCGGGGCTGGGAGCCCAGCCAGGTAAGGGCGCCTGGGGCACCGCCCTAGGGTCCAGGGATGGGGGAGGGAGCGCGCGGAGCTGGAATCGGGGAACCCGTCGGGGAGAGAGTAGTGTGCGGGGCTACGGAGGCGCAGCCTGGGGTGGGGGGCGTGGAGCCTCCGCGGCCCGGGGAGCCCCGCCCCCGTCCCGGCGGTCCCCCCACATCCCGGAGTGCGCCCCGACTTGCCCAGCCTCACTTCCTGTCCTCAGGATTCGGGGGTCGAAACGGTATCGGTGTTGGGGCTTTTCCCGGAGCAGGTGAGCGTGGGGGGCAGGGTTGCAGGGAGGGGCAGGCCTGGGGGGCCCAGGGTCTCGCCCCGCTCTTAGGGGAGGGGCTGGCTGGGTCAGCGTCGGCCTCTTTGTCTCTCCCCGGGGCTGGGGTGAGGTCCAGGCTCCCCGGCCCCTCTCTGGGCATAAGTCTCTGAGAACTGTGCTGGGGGTGCCCCGCTCATGGGGTGAGGACACCCCCGGAGATGTGGGCCCACCCCCGGCAGCCCAGACCCCACCTCCCTCTTCTCGCAGGCCCCAGGGTTCAGAGTCGTCGGGGATGGAGCTGGGGATGATGGAGATGGGGGGGAGCTGGTGGGCGGGCTTGGGCTCGGGGTTCACCGGAGCTTCACCGCGTTTGGGTCTCTTTCTCAGGAATTGGAGGGGGCGTGAAGCCTCAGAAGCCAGGTGAGCCCCACCCTGTCCCTAGGTCCCTGCCCTCTCCCCCCCCATTGTCCCTCCCCCCTTACTCCCTCCTGCTCCGTCTCCCCAGGACTCAGCGCTGGGAATGGGCTGGGGGCTGGGGCCTTCCCCGGAGCTGGAGCCCAGCCAGGTGAGGGCGCCAGGGCCAAACTGGGGTGCTGGGGAGGCGGGAGGGGAGGGGCTGGGGAGGGCAGAAAACTCGTTTATGGGGGAGAGTAGGGGCGGGGAGGGGTCCACAGGTATGAGGCTTGGGAAGGGGCGTGACACCCAGAAACCAGGTGAGACAAAGACTCGGCCCCTGCCCCTCCCTGCCCTTGTCCCCACCCCAAGTCCTCCCCTGTGCCCCCATCCGTGGCTCACAGAGGGTATTGGCTTGGCCTGGGGGCCGAGCCAGGGAGGGAGGCTAGGGCCCAGGCTGCTGGGGGAGGGAGGGGTCACCGCTGTGCCCCACTCTGGACTCCTAACAGGGGCCTCTTTGGGGTTCACTCCTCCCACCACCTTTCCCGATTGCCTGCCTGAGCCCGGCCTTGACTGTGCACTGCAGACCCCACGCCCGTCAGCCCAGGGGCTGTAGGCCCGCTGGGCCGAGTGCCCAAGCCGTGCAGACTGAGGTCAGGACTTGGCGGAGAACCCAGCAAGGGCGGAAAGCCAGAGGGCAGAGCCCAGGGCTGGAGGCCAAGGGGGGCGTGAACCTAGCTGGGGGACTCACCTCTGAGGTTTTAAGCTGGGAGTGAAAGAGCTGGTCTACCTGGAGCAGGAGAGCTTGGGGAGGAGGCTGCTGGCATTGCAGGAGGGTGGGGGGTGCCTCAGTCAGAGTGGGATCAGTGTGGATAAGACCCCAGGAGTCTTCGGGGCCAGAAGGAGGAATGATGGATCTGGGGTTCCTGTCTCGGCCACCGCTGTCTCCCCAGCCCTTTTCCTGGCACAGGTCCCCACAGGGACCTCTCTTGTGAACTTACCGAGGCTGGATAGAAGAATTGGGGGGTATGTAAAGTAATTAGCCTCCAACTAATTAAAAAAAAAAAAGAAAAAAAGAAAAAAATTTCGAAGGGAAAAAAAATAAAGCACTTGTTAGTAGCAAAAAATAAAATAAATTAAAAAAAAAGAATTGGTGGGGAGGGCAGGGGTCTAGGGGAGGCCTTGGCAGGAGGCTGGGGCTCACCCCCAAGTCAGCATTGTCTGGATTTCCTATGTCCCCCCCCACAGGTCTTGCGGCTCCAAATGGCTTTGGACCAGGTAGAGAGGGGGCTGGGGGAGTTGAGGGGGGAGGCCCTGAGGGGGTGCTCCAGGATCCCTCACCCGTGGGTCTCTACTCAGGCTTTGGAGGGGGCGGGAAACCCCAGAAGCCAGGTGAGTCCTGCTCTGCCCTGTCGGCTCTTGGTCAGTCTGTCTGTCTGTCCGTCCTCTCTGTATCTGTGCTCCTTTCAAGCCCTGCCTCAGTCTCAGGCCCCTCGCTCCATCTCCCCAGGATTCGGGACCGGGGACGGCACCCAGCCAGGTGAGGCCCGGAGCTCTAGGACTGCAGGGCTCACCCAGGGGGTGGTGGATGAAGGGGAGGGGGTTGACTCTGGCTCGGATGGAAGACGGGATCCGGGTGGACTCGCTGGACCGTCTCCTCATCCCCAGGCCTTGGAGCAGGAGGGCTGAAACCTCAGAAGCCAGGTGAGCCCCGCCGTCCCGTCTGGGGTTCCATTGCAAACACTCATTCAGCAGCTAGGTTGGGGGGTGGCACATTCTGGGGAGGAGGGGCCAGAGGCAGACTGTGCCCCACTGAGAAATCTGGAGCTGGGGCATCCCAGAGAGAGGACCAGAGAGGGAACAGGCTCTGGAAGTGGCCGCGGGCCATGGTGGCAAGAGCCCATGCTGAGAGCAGAGCGTGTGGCTGGTGAGGGGGTGTCAAGGAGCCCCCCTTCCTGGCTGCTTGGTGGGGGTGGGGGCGACACCGGCCGGGGGGACCCCAGGCAGGTGGGATGGCTTTCAGGCTCCACAGGGAGGCTGGACACCAGGACGAAGACCCACCCAGCTGGGGGGTCCTCTCCCACCCCCCCCAGGCCTTTGAGGGGCAGGATTGATGAGGGATTCAGAGGGGCTCGGAGAGAGCCTTTGAGACCCTGGTTTTGCCCGGGCTCTGTAGGGGGCCACTGGGGCTTGCCTGGTGGCTCAAATGATAAAGAATCCGCCTGCAATGCTGGAGACCTGTGTTCAATCTCTGGGTTGGGAAGATCCCCTGGAGGGGAAATGGCAACCCACTCCAGTATTCTTGCCTGGAGAACCCCATGGACAGAGGAGCCTGGTGGGCTACAGTCCATGGGGTCTAAAGAGTCCAAGGTGGACTGAGCGACTAACACTTTCCCCCCACCTTAGCCAGGGTCCCAATCTCCTTTCTCACCCCTCTTCCTCTGCAGGCCCCCCGGCTCAGAATGGCTACGGAGCAGGTACCGATGGGTTGGGAGAAGCCAGTGTCGGGGTGCTGGAGCTCCGGGGTGGTCCCTCACCTGCTCCCCATTTTCCTCCAGGCTTTGGAGGGGATGTGAACACTCAGAAGCCAGGTGAGCCTCAGCCCCACCTGTCTCTGTCCCCCACCTGGAGTTTGCGGCCCCTTGCCCCCTCACCTCCACCTCCATATGTCCCCCCAGGATTTGGGAACGGGAACGGCCTGGGAGCTCAGCCAGGTGAGAGTGGTGGGATCTGGAGGCTTCCACACGTCGGTGTCCTTTCCAGGCCTCATGAGGGCCGGGGAATGATTGAGGGGTGCTGGGAGGAAACCCCCAGGATTCCAGCCTTCTGGCTTGACTTCCACCTCAGCCGGACCCCAAATCCGCCCAGCTCACCCTTCCTCTCCCCACAGGCCCAGCAATACTGCAGGGATACGGAGCAGGTAGGAGCAGAGGGGGCCCTCAGGTGCCCGGGATGGGGACTCTGGGCCCTTCACCTACTCCCATGTCTTCAGGCTTCGTGGGGAGCATGAAACCCCAGAAGCCAGGGGAGTCCTACTCTGGCCTAGTCTCTATCCATGGACCCCCAGAATCAGAGCGCCCCCACCCCCTGCCTCCTTGCTCAGGGATCTGGGCATGGGCCTCCCCGGGGCAGGGGACTGGGGGGCAGGGGCTGGGCTCTGAGTAGAGGGCAGACGAGGCTGGCCTCTGAAGCCGGGGGAGGGGGAGACCCCCTGCCTTGTCTCCCTCCTGCTTTGAAGGGGTTCACCTTCAAACACTGCCCGCCACCCCACTTTCCTCCCCAGGATATGGTAATGGGAACGGACTGGGAGCCAGGCCAGGTGAGGGCAGCTGGGCCCAGGGCCTCAGGGGGTGAGGAGGGAGCAGGGATGCGAGAGGTGGTGGCCACAGGGAAACTGAATGTTGGGGCCTGGGGGTCTGGCGAGGCCTAGAGGAGTCCATGTCAGCCCCCCTGCCTCCCCAGGCCTAGAGGGGGTGGGAAACCCCAGGCATCAGAGGAGAGGAGGACATCCTGGCCCTCCTGGGTCCCTCAGACCCATGACTCCACGGCCTGCTTCACAAGCGGAGGGTGTCCCGGGGGCACCAGGGACCCTGGGAGAGGAGGGGGCAATACCGAGGGGCCCCCGTGCTGGCCTCACCCCTCAGCCTCACGACTAGTCTCATCACCGCCCCCCCCCACCCCCGCCCCGGCTCTGCACAGGCCCTGCGGCTGACAACGGCTATGGAGCAGGTAGGGGGGCCCTGCCCAGGGAGGCCGCGGCGGCCCGGGGGCCCGCACTCACTCTGTGTTTCTCACCAGGCCTGGTGGCCGGCATGAAGCCCCAGAAGCCAGGTGAGCCTGCCTTGGCCGCCTCTCCCCGTCTCCCCAAACCCTGAGCTTCCCTGCCTCCTTTCACACGCCCACCTCAATCTCCCCCCCCCCCCCNCGGACTGGGCGTCCAGCCGGGTGAGACTGGTGGGCTCTGGGGTGGAGGTCTTGTGCCTGGGTATTCTCTCCTGCCTCCCTCCAGGCCTCTGAGGGTCAGGATGGGTGATGAGGTCCCCACCGGCCCCCCAGCTCAGAACTGAGGAGTTGGGAGAAGCTGGAGGCTGGGTGAAAAGGAGAGAGGAGGGGGCAAGGGCCTAGACCCTGCTCTGAGGCGCCCCTCCTGGGCTCCTTGGAGAGGGTGGCCTTGTAGCAGAGGAGGGGCCAAGTTTTCTGGTCCCTACACTGGGACGAAGGGGGACCCAGTTTCCAGCCTCCTGTGCACCTCAGCCTCTCCCCCCATCCTCACAGGACCTGCAGCTCCCGTCAGCTATGGCCCAGGTACAGGAGTGGGTGCTGGGGGCAGATGGTGGGATCGAGGCTCAGAGCGGGTCATGGTCCCTCACCTGCTCCCACCTCCTTCTTCTCCAGGAGTTGCTGAGGCCATGAAGCCTCAGAAGCCAGGTAAATCCTCCTTTTCTCTCTACCTGCCCTGTGATCATGTGATTCCTAAGAGGAAACAGGGCTCCCCAGGGGGTGCAGTGATAAAGAACCCACCTACCAATGCAGGAGACGCAGGGGACATGGGTTTTGAGCCCTGGGTAGAGAAGGTCTGCTGGAGAAGGAAATGGCATCCCACTCTGCTATTCTTGCCTGGGAAATCCCTTGGACAGAGGAGCCTGGCAGCTACAGTCCATGGGGTCACAAAGAGTTGGCTATGACTGAGCAAATAACAACACTGGGCTGATGACCCCGTGGAGGCGCTGGGAGTGGCATGCTCAGAGGGGACGGGAGAAGTTAAGTGCCTGCCTGTGTCTAGTCCCTGCTTTTCTATTATCTAATATTTTCTATTATCTAATAAGTAAGATGTCTCCCTGAGTTCTGTGAGCTGCTCTAACAAATTAATCAAACCCCTCCCCAAGGAGGGGGTTGGGGGAATCTCTGATCTTCAGCCAGCTGGTCAGAAGCACAGGTGACAACTTGGACGGGAACCTGGTGGCCAAAATGTGGGGCGGGGGGGTGGGGAGCAGTCTTCTGGGACTGAGCCCGTGACTGTCATCTCCAGGTCGACCCTAGCGGGCTCGAGTCACACTGCAGGGCCCCTGGTGCAGTCTGAGAACCGCTCGGTGGCCCTGGGCTTGCTGTCAGGATCGGACCCCGCCTTCTCTCTACGCCCAGAAACTGGCTCCTCCCGCCCTTTCTCTTCCTGTAACCCCTGCTTCTGTCTCTCCAGTTTACAGGAATGGGCTGGGAGCTGGAGCCTTCCCAGGCCAAGGGGCCCAGCCAGGTGCGGGGCAGGGGCAGGCCTGGAGTTCCGGGGGGTGGGGAGGTGACCCCAGTGGGCGAAGATCTGGGTCCTGGGGAAAAGGAGGGTGGAGTGGGGTCCACGTCACTCAGCCTCTGCTGGTCTCCCCGCAGGCCTGGGAGGAAGCATGAGCCCTCTGAAGCCAGGTGAGTTCATCCCCCTCTCCTCTGCCCCCTCTGAAGTCTCCAGGGCCCTGCCCTCATGCCCCCCGCTCCCTCCCAGGATACATGCCACTGGAGAACGGGCCGCAGCTCCTCCCAGGTGAGTCTGGTGGGGGCCTGGGGTCGGGGAGAGCGCTCCTTCCTCAGGGAGGGCTGGTTGGGCCTGAGGTACCCTCTGTCTCCCCCACAGGTCTCGGAGTGGGTCTGAAACCTCAGAAGCCAGGTGAGCCCTCCCCTCCCTGTCCTGCATCTCCTCCTGCCTCTCCTGTCAGACCCCCCACCCAATGCCCCTCACATCCGTTTTTCCTCTCCAGGATATGGCAACGGCAATGGGCTGGGGGCCCAGCCAGGTGAGGCAGGGGGGGAACAGAGGGAAGTGGGGGGATATTGCTGGATGATGGGGCGGGGTGGGCAACAACAGGAACCACAGCAGACGGCTGAGTCCCCTTGTCCCCAGAGCAGACTGACCCATGGGAACTGGGCTTTTTATGACACGGCCACTGTCCCCACTGGCAGCACCTTTCTGCCCTAGAAGCCACCGCAGGCCATGGCTTGACCAGGCGGAGGCCAGGAGGGCAGCCTGGAGGCACCGCCGGCCTGGGTCACAGGGGGGTGGGGAGCAGTCTTCTGGGACTGAGCCCGTGACTGTCATCTCCAGGTCGACCCTAGCGGGCTCGAGTCACACTGCAGGGCCCCTGGTGCAGTCTGAGAACCGCTCGGTGGCCCTGGGCTTGCTGTCAGGATCGGACCCCGCCTTCTCTCTACGCCCAGAAACTGGCTCCTCCCGCCCTTTCTCTTCCTGTAACCCCTGCTTCTGTCTCTCCAGTTTACAGGAATGGGCTGGGAGCTGGAGCCTTCCCAGGCCAAGGGGCCCAGCCAGGTGCGGGGCAGGGGCAGGCCTGGAGTTCCGGGGGGTGGGGAGGTGACCCCAGTGGGCGAAGATCTGGGTCCTGGGGAAAAGGAGGGTGGAGTGGGGTCCACGTCACTCAGCCTCTGCTGGTCTCCCCGCAGGCCTGGGAGGAAGCATGAGCCCTCTGAAGCCAGGTGAGTTCATCCCCCTCTCCTCTGCCCCCTCTGAAGTCTCCAGGGCCCTGCCCTCATGCCCCCCGCTCCCTCCCAGGATACATGCCACTGGAGAACGGGCCGCAGCTCCTCCCAGGTGAGTCTGGTGGGGGCCTGGGGTCGGGGAGAGCGCTCCTTCCTCAGGGAGGGCTGGTTGGGCCTGAGGTACCCTCTGTCTCCCCCACAGGTCTCGGAGTGGGTCTGAAACCTCAGAAGCCAGGTGAGCCCTCCCCTCCCTGTCCTGCATCTCCTCCTGCCTCTCCTGTCAGACCCCCCACCCAATGCCCCTCACATCCGTTTTTCCTCTCCAGGATATGGCAACGGCAATGGGCTGGGGGCCCAGCCAGGTGAGGCAGGGGGGGAACAGAGGGAAGTGGGGGGATATTGCTGGATGATGGGGCGGGGTGGGCAACAACAGGAACCACAGCAGACGGCTGAGTCCCCTTGTCCCCAGAGCAGACTGACCCATGGGAACTGGGCTTTTTATGACACGGCCACTGTCCCCACTGGCAGCACCTTTCTGCCCTAGAAGCCACCGCAGGCCGTGGCTTGACCAGGCGGAGGCCAGGAGGGCAGCCTGGAGGCACCGCCGGCCTGGGTCACTGCCCTCTCCCTTCCTCCCCATCTAGGTCCCTGCAGTGGTGGGGTTCTTGCCAAGCCTCCCACTCCAGGGATCCCTTCTGATAAAGGGGGTGGCTGGGGCCTGAGATCCCAGCCCCCTTTCCCAGGGCAGGATGGCAAGTTCCCAGGTCAGTGCCGATTAGGAGGCCTGAGGGGCCATGGTGGGTACTTAGTCCCAGGAGAAGCTGGGGTTGGCTGGGCCACTCAGAAGCCCCCAGGCCTGATCTCCAGGAAGTCAGTGAAGAAGAGCCTGAACTCTGGCCCTGAGACCCCGTGTGACTGCCAGTATGACGGCACCCCCAGGCCCCAGCCCTTCCCCTGTGGCTTCCTGAGGCCTTCCCCACCCGCCTCTCACTGGCTCACTCCTGTCCCCTGGCCTTCCTTCTAGTGCCTACTCCGGCCCTCCAGTGGGGACCGAAACCTCAGGAAGCAGGTTTGTGTCTGTCTGCTCCCTCTCCATGTCAGATTATGCCATTCCATCTCCCTTGTTCCCTGGCCCGCCTCAGGTGTTCAGGCACCTTAAGGCCAGGAAGTCCCTCTCTGAGTCTACCCTTGGCCTCTCATGCTGCTTTCTTACTTCATGTCTTCGGATTTCCTTTCCCTGGGGATGAGGAGAGCCCCTTCTGCCTCAGAGTCCCCAAGGTCCACACGCGGGCCCCAAGCAGTGAGGGCAAGCCGGGGTCCTCCCCACTCACCTCCATTCCCCTCACAGGGTACCAGCTCCAGAATGGCTACGGACCAGGAGCAGGACTGGGTGAGGAGGCCCTTCTGAGCTTCCCCTTCCCTCCCTCCCTTTCCCCTCCCCTGCCTCCACCTGCCCGGGAAGCCGAGGTTATCTCTGACCCAGCCTCCTCTCCCCCAGGCTTTGGTGGGGGCCTCAGGCCCCAGAAAGTAGGTGGTCTGGGAGCCGGGGTCTTCCCTGAGGCCCGCCCTCAGCCAGGTGCCTGGGGGAGCTGGGGAGGGGGGCTTTAGGCTTGGGGGTGCTCGTGTCTCTGACCTTGTCTTTCATCTTCCAGGGTTCCCAGGAGCCGATGGCTTTCTGAACGGTGAGTTGGACCCAGGTGACAGAGTGCAAGGGGGTGGGGAAAGGGCTGGTTCTCTCACGGTATGGGGAGGCCGCCCTAGTGCTCCCCAAAGTGGCCACTCCAGGCCCTGGAGGACATGGTAAGACACGCTGAGAGGGCAGAGGGGACCCTAGCAAGGGCGGTGGGGACCAGGCCAGGTAGGCGAGGGGTTTGAGAACCAGGAAGCAGTGGTGCATCCTGGACACCCAGCTCCAGTGGCAGCGGTCCCAAGCTGGCTCTCCTCCTCCAGGTCAGGCTGGGGGCCTGAGGGGCTTTCCCTGGCCCTTCCTCGGGCCCTGGGGGGCTGCCTTGAAGCCTAGATACGGGGTTGGAGGCACATACCCGGAGGTCGGGAGTCAACCAGGTAATGGGGTGTGTGGAAGAGTGTTGCTGGGGGGTGGCTGCAGGGAACTGGGCTCTGGGCCCACCTCACTGCCCTGCAGAGAGGGAGGGGGGCACTTGTGGCAGTGGGCGTAGAGGTAGGCAGGAGGGACTCCGTATCCTCACCTCCATCCCTCCTCCAGGGCCCTATGGGCAGCTGAGGCCAGAGCTGGGCCCTGGGCCCTTGGGTGAGTAGGGGTCTCCCAGGGCCTTGGGTAAAGCTGGGGGTGAGCAGAAGGACTTCGAAGTCCTCTGCTGACCTGGGTGCCCTGGCTTGTCTGTGTGCCTTAGGAGGCCCTGAGGTGAAGAGAGGCAGCAATGGCCCGCTGGGAAATGGCTTTGGAGGTGAGAGGGAACTCAGTGCCCCGCCCCCAGCCGCCCCATGCCACCATCATCACCCCTCCGGGCTGCACTGGGGGCAGCCCCGACCAGTGGAACAGACAGACAGTGGCTCTCAGGCCACCTGTGGGTGCCTGGTGGGTGGCTGGTCCCAGGCAGAGGGCCCGTGTCCCCCAGGAGGTGAACAGGGGCCAGAACTCAGCTGGGCCCTGCTCTGCCTCTGCCCAGGCCGCTGACTGCTTGGGAAACGCTGAGCACCCGAGCACTCCCACTGCCCGTCCTGAGCACCTCTGCACGCGAGCCTGGTCTTCAGGCAAGGCCGGCCAGACCCTCCGGCTTGGCCTCTGGCCTGGGGTCTCCTGCAGGCTGGAAGTCTCAATAAAGGCAGTGTGCTTCCCTGTTTGCCTCTGTGTGCTGTGTGGGGGGGATCACCAGCTGGGCTGGGGGACCGCCTGGGCCTGCAGCCTCCACCCAGCACCTTATTCATTCCTTCAACAAACATCAACACAGCTGTGTGCCAGGGGCTGTGCTCCAGATGGGAGCCGCATGAGCACAGAACAAACTCAGGCCTGCTCTCGGGACGACACGTGGTCCCAATGTAGAGATGGAGCCATGTCCAGGTTAGGGGACTTGTGCACTACACTGCGTGCATGCTCAGTTGAGTCAATTGTGTCCCACTCTTTGTGACCCCTTGGACTGTAACCAGCCAGGCTCCTCTGTCCATGGGATTCTCCAGGCAAGAATACTGGAGTGGGTTGCCATTTCCTCCTCCAGGGGATCTTCCCAACCCAGGGATCAAACCGCATCTCCTGCATTGCAGATGGATTCTTTACCCACTGAGCCACCTGGGTAGCCCACATTATACATTGCTTGTGTTTTAATTGATAATTAACTTATTAAAATGATCCACTAAAAATTTCATTTTTCTTAAGCCTTTATACTTGCTTCCAGATATCATTGTATTGATTCATCTTATAATTTGGATGTAAAACTCACTTTCACATTCTTAAATTAATACTCAGTTAGATTATAAATTTGTCAGATCAGCATCTCCCTAAATATTTAGCATGCTTTACAAGCCTGATACTCAATTCCCTTAGACATTTCAAATAATTATGCACATAATCTACTTGATCTCTTAACAGGGTTGGGGTGTGTGTGTGTACAAATCCAACCAGCAACTTTCTTCCTAAGCACTTAAGGGGTTCTTGGAAATCAGTCAGACGTTTACTATCTCAGATTACTGAACACTTTCAAACATTTTAAAAAGCTAGTTACTAATCCAGTATCAGTAATCAGTGCTACTGGATTGCTTCCTTTCCTCATCCCATGATTATAAATTTAATCACCCAGAAATGTGGAAGTGAATTTATTCTCCTAGGCTGGGTCCAGACTGGAAGTTGCACAACTGAGGTTTGATCTGCTCTTCTGAACTTTGACCTGGGGCTTAGATGGTCCCAGAACCAGTATCCTTAAGTCTCTGTTCTGAGCTATGCCTCCCCCAGTCTATACCTCTTGCAATCTGGTGAAGTTTTACCTTAACTGAAGAATTTGAGTTGAATAGAGTTGATAGGATTTGCCACCCAGGGAGGAACTCAGATTGTTTTTCTATGGAGTGATTTAAGATAACAGATACAGACCAAAACCTGACTGCAGTATGCACAAGCTTGAGGAGGTTGTGTAAACATTATTGGAATTCCAGCCTGATATCTCTTAGCCTACCTCATTTAATTTGCTCTATTTGAGAATCATCATAGGCTTTTGCTTTTTCATAAAAATATTAATTCTTTGGGCTTCTCTCAAAGAGGCTCAGTCGGTAAAGAGTCTGACTGCAATGCAGGAGACCTAGGTTTGATCCCTGGGTCAGGAAGAGCCTCTGGAGGAGGAAATGGCAACCCGCTCCAGTATTTTTGCCTGGAGAATCCCATGGACAGAGGAGCCTGGCAGGCTGCAGTCTATGGGGTCACAGGAGTCGAATGTGACTGAGCGACTAAGAACACATTGGTTCTTACAATCTCATCGCGTGGACTTTCCTAGGAGTACAGTGGGTAAGAATCCACCACCAGTGCAGGGGGTGCGGGTTCAATCCCTGGCCAAGGAATATTCCACATGCCATAGAGCAACAAAGCCCACATGCCACGACTACTGAAGCCTGCTCCAAACCTGTGCACCACAAGGAAGAGTAGACCAACTCTAGTGCAATTAGAGAAAGATTGCATGCAGCAACAGAGACCCAGTGAAACAAAAAATAAATAGAATTATTTTTAAAAAGTCACTTTGGGATCACCTCACATCAAGCAACAGTCTGAACTGATGTAAAAAATAAAGTGAAATTAGGGAAAAACAAATCATCTTGTGTTTCTCTGCCCTGAGATGTGGAACAAACCACATCATCTCTACTAGAGAACAGGATTAAGAGCAACATCTGGGTAGAGGGGCCACTCAGCACAGTCTCAGAGAGGGCAGTGGGTGCTATCCTTTCTAACCAATCTAGACATGTTCTAATAATTTATTGTTGTGGTTTTATTTGTTTATTTTTGGCTGGGCTGGGTCATCTTTGTTGCAAATGGGCTTTCTCTACTTGTGGCAAGCAGGAGCTACTCTCTGGTTGTGGTGTGAGGTTTCTTGTTGAGGTGGCTTCTCTCACTGTGGAGCCCTGGCTCTAGGGTGTGGGCTTCAGTAGCTGTGTCCTGAGGGAGCGAACCAGAGTCCCCTCCATCGACAGGCAAATAACCACTGGACCACCAGGGAAGACCCTAACATTGTTGTGTGTGTGTTTTTTTTTCCAAATATTGTTTTAATAAAGATTTCTATATTCTGACTTCGGGCTCCCCAGGTGGTGCAGTGGTAAAGAATCGGCCTGCCAGGCAGGAGTTACAAGAGATGTGGGTTTGATCCCTCGATCGGGAAGATCACCCGGAGATGGAAATGGCAGCCCACTCCAGTATTCTTGCCTGGAAAATTCCATGGACAGAGGAGCCTGGTGGCTTACAGCCCTGTCGATCTCAAGGAGTCAGACACAACTGAGCACCAGCACCAACCTGGTTCCTGGCTGCCTCTTGAACTTCATATTTCGACTTTAAATAGATCGACCATTTTTCCTTTTGTCACCCACTTGTCTTTTATAACCATTCTTAACGTCACCGCAAATGCTACATGTCAAGCTTTGCTATTGAGTTGGTATCTTTTCATCTCGTCTCTGGGCTTCCCTGGTGACTCAAATGGTAAAGAATCTGCCGCAATGTAGCAGACCCGGTTTAGACCCCTGGGTCGGGAAGATCCCCTGGAGACGAGAATGAGAACCCACTCCAGTATACTTTCCTGGAATTCTTTCCTGGAGAATTCCATGGCCAGAGAAACCTAGGGGACCACAATCCATGGGGTCGCAGAGTCGGACACGACTGAATGACTAGCACACATATGTGCATGCACAGATCACTGGATGGAAATTTTCATGGATCTTGACCCACAAAGAGCATCTCTTAAGGACAAATCCCAAAAAAGGCGATCCATAAGCTCTCTTCTAGGGCTGTCACAGGGCAAGGAGGGCGGGGTGGGGGCGTCGAAGCAGGGGAGATGCAGCGGCTAAGTGGACGCTCAGGCCAGTTGGGGGCGCCCACTGAACATGCAGTGTCTGTTCTCAGGGATAGTGGGGATGGAGCCTGTGGCACCTCGGAGCACTATGATTGGCTGGGGTTGAGGGAGGGGCGGGAAGAAGGATTGACAGAGAGCGCTACTGCCTCTGATTGGCTGTCATGGATAGCTCCTGACAGCCGGCGGGAGAAATGGATAGGTCGCCGGCGCATTGGCCTTTGATTGGCTGGAGCGCGGCAGCGCACGACTCCAATTGGCTGGGGCTCTCAGAGCGACGCGCGGCCACCTGCTGGAGGGACAAGGCCTCCGCAAGCTGCGCGCGAGGGGCCCTGGCGCTGCACCTGTGGCCAAGCTGGCTGCCCAGCTTCCCCGCTCCCGCTCGCATCCGCGGCTGGCCCGCGCCCGCGTCCACTCGCGGCTGGGCCGGTCCCGCGTGTCGCTGTCCCTGACCCCGCCGCCCGAGCCCCCGCCGCCCTACTTCTTCCTGTCGCCTCCCTGCTGAAGACCCGGCCCTTCCCGCCCAGGAGGGGCTGCGGGCGGGTGAGTAGGCAGCCCTGCCTGGACCCAGGGACTGTACCCCTCTCCACCTTCCCCTGGGCAGGTTCAAAAGGCGTGGGTCGGAGCACTGCCTGGGGAGCAGGACGGGCGTGCCCGGAGCAGCTTAGGTTGGAGAAGGAAAGATCAGGCCTGAAAATAAACTCATTTGAAGATTGGAGCCATTTCTTCCATTTTTCCTACTGCCTTACAGGAAGCCTCTGGTCTGGCCATTTGAGAATGAAACTAATTCCCTTTACTGATAAACTGGCTGGTGATCTGGGCGGGTGGGGCTGAGGAGCCCCAGCACACAGCTGGAGAAAATGAAAACAAAAAACTTGAAATACTTTTACTGGTGTAGGTAAAATGTCTCATTTTCTCTTGTATAATAAAAGGTTTGAATACTATCACTAAAGTCCTCTGCTCAAGTTTGTATGGCTTCGTGGAAACTCAGACATGCCTTCCAAGTCTTAAGAAGTCAAACTTTCAGCTGAAATAGATCCTAGGGTCCCTTGGGCCTGGGAGCACCAGGAAACCAGTGGTGCTGATGGACAATCGATACTGGGCCTTGGAACAGGAGTGTCACATGCAAGGGCTGTGAAGTCACACCCACAGAATAGGAAAGCTCCCAGGGTGAGTCATGAGAGGAAGCCCCTGTCCTCTCCCCATCTTTACCACCCCCTTCCGCCCCCCTTCTCCCCAGCGTGTACAGCACAGAATAAAGTTCCCTTTGTTACGCAGGTGGCTTGGGCTCAGGTAACCAGGCAGACGCCCTATCTCAATGGGCTCTTCTACAGCAGATCAGGAGTGGTATCAGGAAGCCAACTTGACCTCGGGGGACCTCTGAGAGCCTGGGACCCAGGAGCAAGAAAGGGAGTGGATAAGTTTCCCGAAACTGCTGTAGCAAACCACCACAAACTGGGTGACTTAAAATAGGAGTTTATTCTCTCCTGGTTCTGGAAGCCAGAAGTCCAAAATCAGGATGTCCCCAGGCCACACTCCCTCCCAAGGGTCTAGGGTAGGATTCTTCCTTGATGTTCAGTTTCTGGCAGTTCCAGGTGTTGCTTAGTTTGTGACTCCATCACTCCAGTCTCTGCCTCCATCTTCACATGACCTTCTCCCTTGTATCTGTATCTCCTATCTCCCCCCATCTTTTTTCTCTTATGATACTTGCCATTGAATATAGGGTCCACCCTAAGTCCAGAATGATTAAGGATTAAGGAATTAAGGATCTTGAGACATTCCAGAGCTTGGGTTGCTGTTCAGTTGATAAG